ACGACAATGTTCTTCATATGAAGTATTTGTTCGTAATAAATTATTGTTCTGAGTTGTCATAGATCTAGATTCTTCCCTGGTTGCTAAACAGATTCGACAAAAATGTTGTGCCGTAAATGACTCCACCATTCCATACAATTGGTTACCCCCCAAATTGTCAAAACTAAAGGCAACTAGCGTTCCTTTTATGTTTTCCTTCAAATAAGAATCAAAGACACCAGTAGATTCAAGTTCTTGCAGATCTTTTACAATTGGTTCAAGCACAGAATTTATACCAAATCGTTTAAAATCAAGACTGTAAAACAAACCAACTAAATGGATGTTGAGAAGCGCTGAATTAAAATGTGGCGGTAAGTTTCTTACAACCATATAGATTGCCCCAATTTTATGCCCCCCTGTTTTGGAACCGAGTGGGTTTACACTCTCAAACTCGTCAAAAAACATATGCAATTGTATAGAATTTTTCTGTTTATTAAACAAGAAATTTTGTTTATATTGCACACCGTCATTAAAAGAAGAAATTTTGTTACCTATATTTGAAGCTTGAGTAGACAAAATTTTGGAAAATGATTCATTATTTAAAAGAAAAGACAACGTTTTTAAAATTGGTACATAAGTAAAATAGGATATAAAAGGAACTTGTTCGTACTCAGAATTTGATTTATTCCAAACTTGATCATATCTGGTTCCTAAGGGAATTTGAATTGGTTCAACAATGACCTTTTTAAAGTGTTTTTCTCTTCTGTATTTTGATCGAAACTCGAAAAAGCATCTCTTTACTTCCGCAAGATCTTCATTTGAAACATTACTCAGTAAATTTAAATTAAGATCTAGTATTACCTGTATAGTTGAATTGGGCAGACTTAAAGCATGTAATTTAGAAACATAAGAAAAATTTGTTCATGCAATGATAAATTTGAATTATTTTTTATTAACGCGTTATTCACATCAGGAGTAGGAGCACGCTCCTTCTGTGGTTGTAGTGTTTTATTGTAAGCATTATCAATATTTTCAACTTTTGGAATACATCTTTGTAAGTGTCGTCGATATCCACTAAATGTTGAATATATAGATGAACAAGAAGGGCAAACTTACTGTAAAGTGGAACCTTTATAAATGGCGTCATTATTTCTTAAATGTTTTACCAATTCTGTAATTGTTTGGGATATAGTTTTACACAAATAGAAAGAATACATAATTGGAATAAAATCAAAACAATTCACTTAACTCTTCAACTTTACTCAAAAATTTGGCTTTTAGCTCTATCATCCTATTTATTGGTGTAATTATTTCCATGTTATAAAAGAAAAATTGTAAAAAAAGTGTCTCAGAGATCGCTCAAAATGTATATCAAAAACGAAGTGCACTTTAAAACACAAATCTAAAGCGGTAAAAACGTTGTTTTTTGAGCACCTCAATATATTTTGGTCAAAGACAACGTAATAATTTGAAATGTTAAACTTACTATTTTCCACGGCTAAAATGAATGGTTAATTAGTAGTTTTAACTTTAAGAGTTTTTCCAGAGGCACTTGAGTGTTCTGGAAACAAATTAACCGTGAAAACGCTTTACTATCACTTTCTTTTTTCGTGAGTTTTGCCGCAGTAGGTGCTAGAAGATGCACCAATAGGCAGATAGATTTTGTTGCACAATTCCAATCTAAAAGAAATGATTTTAAGAATAGGTCCAGCTGTTTAATATAATAGACAAGCCTATATACAAAGATAATAATAAATAATAAATTATAATATGTACAGGGTGTCCCATTTGTAATAATTAAAAAAAAAACATGGCTTCCTGACACAAAATACAACAAAAAAGTGTTATACAATTTTTCAATCCAGTGACAATTGAGCTCGCAAATCGTTTTTGTAAATTTGAACGTACAATTTGTTTCATAACGTGCCTGGATCTAGGCGACTAACGTCGCTCAGCTGATCTAGTGTGGATGTAAAAAGTACTTATCGGGAAGAAGCCGAATGCACTTCCACCTTGTAAAAAAAAGTGAAAGTGAAAAACAAAAGCGTACCTTTTATAAAAAATGTTGAAATTGTTCGCCATTCACTTCAATGCAACACTGACAGCGGCGTACCCAATTCCTGCGAATTTTGGCGCAGATACCGGGAATATTTCGAATTATACGATAGACATTGGTAAAGCAACCCACCACCAACTGACGGTTGAATAAGAACCCTACTAGAATGCACTGTCACACTACTAATTGTCCTTATTGTAATAGTCTTTCACGAAATGACTACTAAATAAATAAACTAACAATAACAAACAAGTAAATTCCACAACAATCCAAAGCAAACTGAACAACCTGTTAGAAACTACGACATTATGTGTATTTATTCGAGTCACTTCCAGCAGTATAATTATAGGAGGTTATAACCAACTTGGTCCTCCTGGACACATCCTTGTATTACTCCACGTGGGGTTAATGATCTCTGCCAGGCAAAATTAATGTCAGACCGACCAGTTTAACACATGTGATTGGTCAAAGTAGGTCTGCATCTTGTCTCAACTTTTACAAACATAACACATAATTGTTTTCGTACACTAGTGCGTTATGTTACTGACTTTATGAAACGCTGAGTTGACAGGGTTGTTTGTATACCGCTTCTAACTATTCCGTAGTCATTATAATTTCTTTTCTATTTAAAATAACAATACACGACGTCATGGGCTACATTAGGTCCACCTCTGTTTACGATCATGGGATTTTCGATTGTGATAGGTACGTAGTTTTTCTAACATGTTCAGTCATCTAATGGACCTTAACGCAAGTGCATTTTCTTCGTTTGATCCGTAAGTTAATACAAAACATAAGCAATAACATAACCCCAAAAAGCAGCTGATTCTGGCCTACTGAAGGTTAAATTTTTCTACCATCAGCTGACAATCGTAATTAATTTGCGATTGTCCAGGGCCGGCATCAAAACTGTTATAATTTTATAATTTTTTGTTTTATTTCCAAAGTCAAAAGTGTTATAACATTTTATGTTCCAAATGTCCGTAGGAATCTGTGGTATAAATACTAATTATTATAACTGGGACACTCTATATAGTAAGTATGCACTCACCGTCACTATCTTCCGACTCTCGGAGTAATTTAGAATCTAATCGTAATGTCGTCGTTTTATAAACCCAAGTGATGATTGGTACATATTTTTCAAAAATAGTTTCATTAATTTTGTCGAGAGTTGGAAACATTAACGAAAATGAAGAAAATACCACAAATGGCGCGGTAAATGCCATCTGTAGTACGATGGTACATTTGAGTATTACGTATACTCCAACAAGGTCCATTTAAATAATGGATATCTACTTGCTGAAACGAATCCCGACGTAGCTAACCTCAACGTGATAGGCACGTTACCATAATCGAATAAAATAATTCGAAGTGGTCTGTTTTCTGTCGAAACTGCCCGAACTGTTGGAACATACGTAATCCTCAAATGAGGCATCGTACTATAGATGACGTTTACCGCGCCATTTGTGGGATTTTCTAAAACGCGCTGTTAAGACAGCAGGTAAAAGTTAATCTGTGTTTTGTCGGAGCTGTCTGCGACGCGCTGATGAGTTCCAAAAAGGTCGAAATCGCGAATAACAGCGTATATTCTGTATATATAATAACATTTACATAATTTAATAACATAAACCGACCTGCGTTCTAAATAGGTTTAATCCGTAGTATTGCGCAATGTTAGTAAATTAAACTGTATAAGTAAAAAAAAGTAGATAGGTATACCCTCATTTTGGCGATCAGCAAACAAAGAAATAATGACCCCAATAGGACAAATTCTTAAAAAATGCGCCAGAAAGTCCTTATCACCTACTGCTCCTTCACAATCACGTGTCTGGAATTGAATTTTAGAAAGTTGAGGGAATGTCTTCACAGCTGAAAGTTGTGGCAATGTAAAATACTTCGTAGATGTGCATCCCTTTATATATACATATGTTTATATTTATGAGTGTTGCATTTTCGAAATACCTAATACTTATTATTTATTGAACTGTAACTTACGGTTAAAACATAAAGAAGCAAAAGCCTAATACTACTACTACTAAGACGAAATACAGTGATACAGATACCTGATTATTTTTGTATAAACCAGAGTTGCTTAGGTAAAAATTGATAAGTAACTATTATTTTTTGGTAATAAGTACCTAATAGCTTTAAAACGTCGTATTCTGGACTCGACAACGTTGCTATTTTACTTCTTCATATTTAAGTTTTATGTAATAAGGTTGTATTTCACAATCGTCTATTTTATTCTACAAATAAAATTCATATAAAAATAAAAAGTTATTTTGGAATTGCAATCACGCATTAAACGGATGTAAGATCATTTAAGAAAACGCGTCAGAAAAAAAATGGAATTGTTAACTTTTTAGTTTCAAAATAGTAATTATGAGATATAATTCTGAAGTTACATGTACGTATAAAAGACAATAATCAAATTAAACAAAAATCTACTTATTCCAGAAACCAACAATGGAAAAAAATTGCTCTGCGTTATTTAAATAAGAAAAAATTTAGAGTCGATATTATTCTTCCAAATATTTTTTACCCTAATATGCACGCATATTTTAAATCATACAACACAAATCTTATAAATCGAATCCTTTCCAACATAAAATAATAAAANCTCGGCAGTTTTAAATTATGGGACACGAGCATGTAAAAACATTGAAATATAAACATAAACAGTCTGGAGTTTCGAGGCCAACGCTATCGAAAGGGGTTTGGTGCTTTTTGAGGGATCATTCTGATATAGTCTTTTCGAATATACAGTCTAATTATTTTTTCTAATTAGTAAGAGTTTCATTAATTTTGTTATTTTAAGAAAAAGGAAAAAAATAAAGGTTTTTAAATTCTTCGTTGTGAGTGTTATTGTTATTGATATAATTATCTAACAAAGCAGCGGTGGGATTCCCAAAAAAAGGAATTAGTGTATTCATTTTGTGCAAAAAAAAAGGGGCTGGTGGCAACTATGAATAGACGACCGAAACGCGGTCAGCGCCAGGACATTGACAGTGAACCTCCAATACGTCTACCTCGGATGAACCTTGATGAGCAGGGTGAATTGGAGCAACCTGACACCAATGTTAGTACCCCGGAAGAGACTGGTACCCCAACAATAGAGACAACAGGTAGTAGTGACTTACAAAATATGTTAGTCGAGGCCAGAGTTGAAATTGCTGCCTTGAGAAGCCAGCTTGTAACGTTTGGTAAACAATTTTTTGAAGCCGCAACCTACCGTGCTGATTTGGGTCAAAAATTAATAAGTTAAAATTAAATTTGTCTCAAGAACAAATTGTTGACTGTATTATTGAAGGCATAACAGACCCATCAACTAAATTAACCATAAAGGCGGCCCGTTGTACTACTTTTGTTGAACTATCAGAATATGTTACAAATTTTCCTTGTACTTCAAAAGTGTCCGGTCAAAGATTTAGTTTAAGACCCGAGACTAAATTTACAGCCGGAGTAGACGGAAATCGACAAAGCGATATAGTGTGTTATGTTTGTAAGGAAAACGGCCATAAACGTATACAATGTCCTAAATATAAAAATTTTAGGTGCATTTTTTGCAATAAATCAGGTCATACTGTGGAAAATTGTAGATTTAAGCGTAGGGAACGTGAAGGGAAAAGTGACAAAAAGAAATATGTTAATTACGCTGGACAAATTTTAGGTAACAAATATCAAAAAAGAGCTAAAATTAGAAAACAACACGTAGACTGTATTATTGATATGGGAAGCGAATCGACGCTAATGAAATACTCAGTTGCTCGAAAAATGAATTTACCAATTATTCGCCTTAATGAAAATATATATTTATCCGGTTTTAATGGCTCACAAGTAGTTGTTAGACATAAATGTTTTGAAACAATACAAATTGAGGGAGTTAAAGTAAAAACGGAAATTTTATTAGTAAACAACCAAGACCTAATTTTTGATTTATTAATTGGTCAAAATTTCCTTGATCACCCGTCTGTATTGCTGATCAATAGTGGACAATACTTAGTTATTACAACATTGCCCATCGATACCGATTTATCGCTAAATATGATAAATAAATATTCTGTAAATTTTGTGAAGGTTACCGAGCTCATAAACCAGAATGCTGATGTATGTAGTTTCTCGTGCGGTGACATTTCATTGGCGGAGAAAAACAAACTCCAACAGCTGCTATTAGGCTACAAGGACCGTTTTTGTTTTAAGACAAGTGAGTTGGGGAAGACTAATACGACACAAATGACGATCAAGTGCAACACTGATAAACCAATAGTTTACCGTCCGTACCGTTCATCAATTTCGGAGAGAGAGGAAATAAAGTCAATTATAAACGACTTATTATCAAATAACATTATACGCCCGTCTCGTTCTCCATACGCTAGCCCAGTTCTGCTAGTTCCAAAAGGGGACGGTGGGAAACGATTATGCGTGGACTTTCGAGCTTTAAATAAAATAACTGAAAAAGATAAATTTCCTCTCCCTCTAATTGATGATCAAATAGACCGACTGGGAGGCCATAAGTATTTTATTACCCTTGACCTCGCCCAGGGGTTTTACCAAATACCCCTTTCAGAGTCGTCAATACCAAAGACCGGGTTCGTGACCCCAGACGGGCATTATGAATTCTTACGGATGCCGTTTGGACTCGCAAACGCACCGAGCGAATTTCAACGTTTAATGACGGAAGTATTAGGAGACTACATAAACACGATTGCACAAGTTTATATTGATGACATTATCATACCTGCCAAATCCTTTGACGAAGGTATGGACAGATTGATAAAAATATTAGACCGACTAAGACAGCATAATTTGACACTAAAATTGTCCAAGTGTAAATTTTTTTTCACACAAATAGAGCATCTGGGTAGAGAAATTTCAGAGTTGGGAGTAAAACCTGGACTAAAAAGACAGAGGCCGTACGAAATATGCCAATACCTAGTAACGTTAAACAATTACGTCAATTTCTTGGATTGGCAGGTTATTTTCGTAAATTCATAAAAGATTTCGCATTCATCGCCGAACCGTTAACGCGATTGTTACGCGAGAACACTACATGGGAGTTTAAACAGGAGCAATTAACTGCTTTTAACCGTCTCAAGGAATTATTAAGTGATAAGTCGGTTTTAAAAATTTTCGATAGACACTTAAAAACAGAAGTGCATACAGACGCTAGTAAGGTGGGAATTGCTGGCATCTTATTTCAACTAGATGAAAATAATAAGAAACATGTGGTAGCTTATTTTAGCAGACAAACGTCTATTCCAGAAAAGAATTATCATTCATATCAGCTATCTATATTAGGTACACGGTTTACGTTTAAGTGACAGACTGTAGCTCTATAAGAAGTACGGCAGTAAAGAAGGATATAATTCCACGAGTAGCTAGGTGGTGGTTAGAGCTACAAGATTATCAGTTCGATATTCAATATCGATCTGGGTTAAAAATGAATCATGTAGATTGCCTCAGCCGTAACCCTCCAAACACAATATTGGGAGTTGTAAACATTACAGAATCGGAGTGGTTATTGGCAGCGCAACTTCAAGATGAGACAATTTGCATGATACGAGATATTTTATTAAATACAGAAAATAAGTCAACAAATAAACATTACTTTGATCAGTATCAAATCAAAAATGGGCTTGTATACCGTAAATTTGAAGACGCGTCACTAAAATGGTTAGTACCAAAATCTACTCGATGGCAAATTTGCAAACTCTTTCACGATGATATCGGACATTTTGGCATAGATAAAACACTATCGAAAATTCGGGAGAACTATTATTTTCCGAGAATGCGTAAATTCGTTACGAAATATGCATGCTTAAGTTGCCTTTATTACAAATCGCCGTCAGGAAAAAAACAAGGGCAACTGCATCCCATTGAAAAAATAGCAGTACCGTTTCACACGTTACACTTAGACCATGTTGGACCCTTCATTAAAAGCAAAAATAAAATCACGCAGATACTCGTTATAGTAGACGGTTTTACAAAATTTACCATCATAGAAGTTGTAAAAAATACAAAATAGAGATACGTGATATTTTTGGGGTACCAGTGTGTGTCATCACTTATCGGGGAGCCGCATTCACGTCCCACACGTTCAAAGAATTTTGCCGAAATCATGGAATTAAACAAATTCTAAACGCGGTTGCCACCCCACGCGCCAACGGTCAGTGCGAGCGCTTTAATCGCACAATATTTAACTCGTTGTCTGCCTTGAATGGAGGAATGGAAGATGGTATTTGGGACTCTCACATAAAAACCATACAAAGAGGTTTAAATACTACCGTGAATCGAGCAATTGGAATGACACCAACTGAATTACTTTTGGCACAAAATCTCGTTCGGCAGCTGAAAGTATTGTCCTGAGTGAAACTCAATATGACATAACTAAATTAGACTTGTCAGAAACCCGAACGAAAGTTAAAGCTCGATTAGATAAGGCACAGCAGAAACAAAAGGAGCAATTTGATTTAAGAAGGGCAAGAGCAACAAAGTACCCTGTGGGAACTCTTGTATTAATTCGAATTACTAGTGTCCCATCAACAGGCGAGAGTAAAAAGTTACATCCCAAATTTAAGGGACCTTTCAGAGTTGTGGCAATTTTGCCAAATGAACGATACGAAGTAGAGGACCTTAGGAATAGGAGAAAACAACGGTCTGTGGTAGCAGTAGACCACATGAAAGATGAGTAAGTGCATTAGGGCGGGGAAAATGTGCTAAGGTGAGAATGTTATTGAAATTTCTTTAGTGTCTTGTTTGAAATTTTGGAGCATGTTAACTGCTTGAATTTAATGTGCAAAAGTGGGTTAAAACATGTGAAACACTTGAAAGCGCATAGTTGCAAATGTGCAAAAGTGAGTTAAAACATGTGAAACACTTGAAAGCGCATAGTTACGAATGTGTAAGGGTGGGTTAGAAACACTCGCAAACACAAAAGAAAAAAAAAATAGGAAAAAGGTATGAAAGAGCAAAAGTGGGTAAGAAACGCTTGAAAGCTCATGGATGTGCAATATAGTATGTTACCAAAATTGCGCTGTTGGAAGTTATGTAAAACTGACGAGGAGCCTCTAACAAAATCGAGAATTAGGGACAACGTACATCTGACGAGAAATTCTTGTTGTTAATAACAAAATAAAATTGTATTCTCAGTTTATTACGTTTTTTTGTCAATAATGCAAATTATTTTTTACTATGTATATATATGTACACTATCTAACTATTTTTCTGCTTCATAATTTTTGTAAGTTTGATAGCTTTAGGTTTAAGTTCTTTTGTCTTTGTCCACATTTTTTTTCTTAAACTAGTCACTTAATTTATTATTTTATTTATACCTTCATAGTTGTTTCTATCCATGATTTTAACAATTTATTTTATGTATTATTTTATTTATATTGTGCGTCGTTTTAATTGTACTTTTACATAATTTTTACTGTGTAAATTACTGTGCCCGTGGATATTCACCAACCTTGTAGCGTTATATAAGCTAAACTTCTGTTATGTACTTAACTGACCTAGACACCTAGGTCTGGATTCATGAATTATTCGATTCTTATTAGTGTTTTTAATAATTGTAGCCTTTGAAGAAGCTCTATACCTGGCGGCGAAACGTTGGTGAACTTTCACCCTATTGGCTTTGATTTTTTATTTATAACTTAACCTACGGGAAGAAATTGGAATATATTAATATTAATATCCCCAACGATTCTATAATTTTTGTATTAATTTGTGCATCTAAGAAAGTCTCAAGATCTGTTTTATGTATGTAAGTTACGGAATCAGTAACTTAATGAGGAGTGGAGGTTTTAAGGTTATGAAATCAAACAATGCTTGATGCAGTAAAAACAACTGAATAACAAAACATATTTACAGATTAGCTGATGCTAATAAACTATTTACAAAGTGCTTATAACTAATTAATCAACCTCATTCAATACAATTGTCGTTAACCTTAATTAACAATACAGTAGTCTCTCTCTATAACGATTCTCCCTATAACGATAATTCCCCTATAACGATGTACTTTAACACCGATGTTTGGTCTAACATAAGAACAATGTAATTTACTCTCTGTATAACGATATCGCTCTCTCTATAACGATGTTTTCAGAACAATTGTGTTTGTTTACATGTCAATTTTAAAATAATGAGCGGGTGTTTATTTTCAACTTAACTCGCCCAACGATCAGTTCAATACTCAACGTCTTTTGTTTCCCGTTTTAGGCCATAGTGACGTGTGGCATTGAGCGCCTACCGCCTCTATCAATTGTTTTAGTGTTGCGTGTTTACAGTAAATTGAACTTTTGTGTGTGTACAATTGAAATGCTTCCAACAAAGCGTAAGGTGCTCACTGTCGAAGAAAAGATTTCTTTCATCAAATCAATAGAAAATGGCGAAAAACAAACAGATGTTGTTCGACGTACGGGGATTTCCCAGTCGACTGTGGCTACAATTTGGAAGGATAGGAAAAAGTGGCTTGATGCGGGAATAGAAATGGGAACCAAGAAAAAGATTCGTAAACCTCAGTATGACGATTTAGATCGCGCTATTCTACAGTGGTTTAAACAACAGCGTAACAACCACATTCCACTGTCTGGACCTGTAATCAAAGCAAAGGCGGAATTTTATGCTACGGAGCTTGGCATCGCTAACTTTAAGGCATCTGAAGGTTGGCTGAGTAAGTGGAAGCAGCGTCACAACATAAATTACGGGCAGATTAGTGGAGAGGCTCGTGACGTCGACAAAAACATTACAGACGACTGGCTGCAAAAAGTGTGGCCTGGTATGACAGCTCGATATTCGCCAGAAGATATTTTTAACGCTGACGAAACTGGATTATTTTACAAGATGACACCAAACAAAACATTGAAATTCAAGTCAGAAAAATGTATCGGAGGGAAATTATCAAAAGAAAGGATCACAATTTTGGTGGCAGCTAACATGACAGGTTCAGTAAAAAGAAAACTTCTGGTGATTGGCAAGTCTAAGAATCCACGTTGCTTCAAAAATGTTAAGCGTCTGCCTGTTAATTACCAAGCAAATAAGAGTGCTTGGATGACGTCTCAAATTTTTGAAGAAGAGATTCGAAAATGGGATTGTGAGTTGAAGGGCAAGAAAATTTTACTCTTGGTTGACAACTGCCCTGCTCACCCTGCAATACCCAATCTCCAGAACATAGAACTTGGATTTTTACCAGCCAACACAACAAGTATCCATCAGCCTATGGACCAGAGTGTCATAGAAAGTCTAAAAAGTCATTACAGGCGAAGACTTCTAATGGAACTGGTGGAGTCAAATGGACATTTTAGGCCAACTATCCTAGATGCTGTACAAATTATCAGCAGAGCATGGGCTGAGGTGACAGAGAAGACAATAAAGCACTCATTCAGGCACGCAGGATGGCTGGAAGACCCAGTACCAACAGAAGACGAAGACGACTTGTCTCTAGTTATTTGGGCCCAACAGTTGGAACTTCCAACAACTTATACGCCAGAGGAGTTACAGGATTACGAAAACATAGACGAGACAGTGGCTACAGCAGCAGGAGTTTCAGACGAGGACATTCTGAATGCTGTTCGTGTTGTTGTTGATGACGAAGATAGTGAGCAAGAGGAAATCGATCCAGAGCCGGAACCAGTCCCAACCCCTCTACAAGCCCTGGAGGCTGCTAAGGTGCTCCGCAAATTCTTTGCTCACCATGAAGAAGAGCCAACTGCGTCAGAGGATGCTTCGCGTCTTGAAGATAAAGTGAGGTCTATGCTTTGGAAGACCAAAAAAAAGCAAACAACATTGAAAGACTTCTTTAATTAAGCATTATGTAATTTTATTTGTGATTTTTTTATATCAATTTATCTTTTTTATCATTGTGCTTTTTCTTTGTTCATAGTACGGTCTTTTATTTTAAAGCATTACTTGATTAAAAAAATATTTCTCTCTATATAACGATCTCTCTCTATAACGATGAAAACATCCGGTCCCTTGAGAATCGTTATAGAGAGAGTCTACTGTATTTATATTGAGACAAGTTATACACGTGGCCTTTCTTTTCTCACACTCCCCCTCTCTCTCCCTCCTTCTTAGTTAGGTCTAGTCTCCTAGATGGAGTTAGATGACTAAGTTTGACGGCGCGTTCAAACTTACATGTATAGACATCACTTCTATATGTGTCAGTGGTAAAAATTGACTGCTTACTTTCAAGAAAAATCTCTGGGTGAATTGTCTTTTGTTTCTCTAATTCAACGATTTCGTGGTCATAGTTCCAAATTAATTTTATTTATAAGATTTGGTAGACCTACGAATGTTGACAGGGAACTAGATGTAGATGTTGAAGTTAAGTTGAATATTTTGATTTACTTCTTTAACCACCTTTTCCGGAATTTATGTATAAAAATATTACATCTGAGGTTACAAAAAAATGACGTAGGTCTTTAAAATATACATTAGGTAAATTACTGTTTTATAAAAAATAATATTTGCTGTTAAAAAGTGAAAGGTAAGAAAACTTCTAGTATTGTTAGCAGTCATTTAGATAACGATTAGTAAATTCCCTTTATCAGTAATTTCATATACAGAGTGTAAATATATTTTGATTGCAATTTATGTTTATATAGAATATTTAATAGATGTTATCTGACGAAAGATAGGTACATTTCACCTCCCTCTTTAAAGAAAAATTGGAAGGTTTTATAACAATTCTTTTAATTTTGCTGTTCCACTACTACTTCTTAATGATACTCTAGAAGTTGATTCCTCATTATCAATTGATTCTACAGAATCCATCTCGATGTCAATATCTTCATGTCCTACATTTTTTCTTCTATATAAATTTAAAGTTTAACAATTTATAAAATTTGTACAAGCATTACTACTGTCATGAGTGTGTCTACTATCTTTAAGTTTACATTTATTTTTTATTCTTAAAAAATGGCTTATAGCTTTCAAGGTGTATTGAAAACATCAGAAATATGTGATATTTACCTATCTATAATTGAATCTAAATATATATACGAGAATATACCATGTATTTAATATATAACTAGTCAGACGAAGACTTTGAAGAAGATTTGATGCAAATTTTAGGTACATATATGATACTTAAACGACTCAAGAAAAAGAGAATAACTAGGCGTTACTGGGTACATGAAATAAATACTCTGTATCCAGACTTACTTTAAGATAATGAGATATCATGTATTTTCACCACAATTTGAAGAAATACACGAATTTATCCAAAGTGACATACACAACAATTATTATAACTATAGAATGTCATTTTGACGAAAATTGTTATAAAATTCTTTCAAATTTAAATTTTTTTCCTGCGATTGTTCGGAGTCTATGAGAACTTGTGGAATTTCATATTGAATTGATAGTGAATTATTGTCATTTCCATATTGAGTCGAAATCGGATTTGATATTATTTGATTTGTGTTTAAATTATATATATAGGTACATAGGATCATGACATTGTAATGCAAGTGTAAGTACTTTATCCTGGTTTTACAATCAATGGTTTATTTACATTTTGAATTATTTTGTTCTCAGTTACATTAATCGTAGTATTCAGAATTCGTTCACATTTTCATTTTCGAATCGTGTATAAGCTTGTGTAATTGAAATTTAATTTCAGCTTGGTCTGTTTAGTAACTTTTTTAGTTGCTTACTCATTGATAAAAAGAAATAGTCATGTTCGTCCATATCAGTTGCTGATCTCTTCTGTCTTATGTCCTGCGACGCTTTCATTACATCAATCATTTCTTATAATAAGTTATTGTCATTATCACTTTTGTTTGTATAGCTCGGAGTAAAACTGGAAGTAGATGCCCTTGAAGAGGTCCTTGGTGTATGCAGAATGGTGGGAGGAGGTGAAAGTGCAGAATCAGTGCAATTCAGAGTCTTGTGTTGAATCGTCAACATTTGTATCACCTAAGTTTGTAACTGTAATTTCAATATTTGGCAACAGAAATTCCATTTGTTTTTCAAGGAACTGTATTAGTTGCTGCTTGACCACTCTTCTTGCGACGTCTTTTTAATGCATTGGTAAAGCAGTTTCTTAATTTTCCCCATTTATTTTTTATGTCTTTAACTGAATCAAAAGATAATCATATTATTTATTTTTGTTATAGGTTTTTAGTTACGGGTAGTTCATTCAGATCGTTAGGATTCAACTATCGAATGGGATTCAGTACCGTACGAAAAATAGTAAAAGACGTTTTTGATGCAATTTGAAAGAAAATGGGTCCAATTCATATGCCAAAACCTACAATTACAATGTGGTATGAATCTGAAGATGGCTTTAGAAATTATTGAAATTTTACCAATTGTTGTGGTGCAATAGACAGAAAACATGTGATCATTACTTGTCCTATAAATAGTGGCTCCAATTATTAGAATTATATGGGGACAAATTCAATCGTACTACTGGCCTTAGTAGATCCAAAGTATAGATTCTTAGTCATAGACATCGGATTATATGGTAAAACCAGCAGTGGTGGAATATTTAAAAATTCCATCTTAGGGAAATTAATACAAGATGGAAAGTAAACTTTCCCGCCCTTAAACCATTAACAAATTCAAAACCATTGCCACATGTGATGGTTGGAGATGAAGCTTTTCCCTTGATACCATTTTTAATGCGACCCTACAGCAAGAATTATGTTCGTAATAATGAACCCAATAAAATATTCAATTATCGGCTTACTCGTACCCGACATATAGTCGAGAATGCTTTTAGCATATTGAGATCAAGATGGCGTGCTTTTGCTGGTCCTATGGCAGTTCAACCGGACATGGTCGACAAAATTATCCTGCAACATGTTGCTTACATAACAATTTAGCCACGGATGATTAGCTATCAGACTACGATGATTCACTACAGATGAATTTGAGAGAATCTACAGCCTTTGACTTAAATCCCATTTGTAGAAATTCCACACAGTATGCTTTTTCAGTAAGAAACCAATTCAAGGAATATTTTAGTACTGAAGGCGCCGTTCCGTGGCAACTTAATATTGTGAGGAGAGGTAGACAAAATTAAAAATATGCTACTCTCCCAAAAGTTATTACAACGATATAGGCGTATACAATATCAATTCATTTTGTAAGATAAAAAATATTTTTAATAAAACTTACCGTGTGTATTCATTTGCTCGGCTCTTCCCATACATTATTTCTCATATTATGATCCCTGTATATAGCTAAATTCATGTCATATAGAACATGATATCGTTTTATCAACTCAATTAATTGTTCGTCGGTCATTTCGTTAAATAAATGCAAAAAATAATATTAAATTGTCAAAAATTCCGTTTGACAGTTTGAAGAATAGGGATAGGGTCAAAGAATGTATATATGCTCTGTGACAGTTCTCGAACGACTCACGCGTGGCGTTGGGTGTTGTCTAGAAACATACCGCCCGCGCCGCATCGGTGGCGTGTTTCGATCCACCATGGACAACACACCGACCTAGCACGTCTGGATCGGGTGGCGTTCATTAGCTGCCGTAAAGGTAACATCGGAGCGATTGTTCCGTCGCTATTGTGTGGTTTCATTGAAGGTCAGATGATTTCTTAGCTAAAAAAAGCTGTTTAACGGGTTGGGTTCGAACCGTAGTAGATAGAAACTGCTTGTTAACAAGTCCGACGTTTAAGTAGTGGGCTCTACTTTGATAAGTAGCGGTATTAGAAGGTGATAAGAAAATGTGACGGACAGATATATATATATTTTCATAAATTGAGCATCTGTTGTCAAGTAAATATCAGAGTATTCTCCGAGAGTTGAACATGAGAATGTATTCTAAACAGTTTTAGCTCTTTTATCATCGTCATCGGAAACGAGGAGGGAAGTCAATTTATCGAAGAAATCGTCTTTCTGCGGAAACATTGTTTCATCAAGCTTAGCAACATCATCCGCATAGGAATAAGGGAACACGCCTTTCCGTCGCACAAGTTGAATATGATGAGGATCTGGAAATTACTTCTTCACTTGCAAACATTGATGAGGATCGAGTTCATCTGACAGCTTGTCGAGGGAGTAAGCCGTGAAACGAAGGGAATCGAGAAATTTAATCTTCACTAACACATTTTGAGTTAAGTCGTCTGTATCAATTTAAACCTTATCAACTCCTAATAATTTGGAAAAGGAAATGTATTGTAGCGAGGACGAGTGTCTTTGTGTGCGATCGGGCACACGAGTGCATGAACGGCTTATCGATTCACCGACTAGCCATGGGCGCCTCTCTTCATGTTTGCCGTATTTGTAAATGTGTGTGTCGTATCTGCGTTCTGGGAAAGCAGTTAAAAAGTTCAACGAAAAAATAAACTATCCGGATGTCTTCATAAGGTTCCAGAAAGTAAACAAAAGAGTATTTAAAGGAAGAGACGATCGCCGAGGGAAGCAGAAATAAATTGACCGTTGCAGAAGTGAATCGAGAAATAAATTGACACTGATAGCAGTGAAATAAATAGCGCAATGAATAGTAATATATAAACAGTAGTGTAAATAAATAGTTTTTGTCGTTATCAGTCTTAGAAGTTAATTATGTTAAACCCACGAATATTATACTATTTTCAGTTATTTTCAGCTGTTATGGTAAATTTAACACCTTATCATGCACCTTAACGTCATCCTCCTGAAAAGGTTCTTCATAAATATTGCAATAGTTAGCATAGAAAAGACGTATTTCTTCATCTGTCAAGGGTGTCATGGGAGAAGCGATCTTCAAATATCGGTGGTAAATATCATAAACGTTTCGATCGAGAGTTGTAAGAAATTGATTGGCACAATCGGGTCCCCGATATGATCTGAATTTG